CAGTGGGGTTTCACGGGGACCATGCTGTCCCCAAAACACATCTCTTTTTTTATTTTTAATTTATTGATGAGAGAGAGAGACATCAGTTTGTTATTCCACTTATTTATTCATTCATTGGTTGTTTCTTGCAAGTGCCCTGATTGGAGATCGAACCCGCAACCCTGGCGTATCCGGTTGATGCTCTAACAACTGAGCTACCCCACCAGGGCCCAAGCATGTCTTCATGCGGAGTTTTAAAAATGCCCCTCCCTGCCCTGGTCGGCTTGGCTCAGCGGTTGGAGCCTTGGCCTGCGGACCAGAAAGTCCTGGGTTCGGTTCCCGCTAGGGGCATGTACCAAAAAAAAAAAAAAGTGCCCCTCCCGCTGACCTGGAAGCCACTTCTAGACAGCAATGCTAAGAACATTATCAGAAGCACATGGTTAGCTCAATAGTGGAAAAGTGCAAACAACTTAAACACACCCAGTGGCAGAAACAGCCGAGTGATGCAGCCACAGAGTGGGGCCCAGGGCAGTCATCAAGGTACCGTTTGTACAGAATTGTAATGAGCTGGGGAAGTGCTCACAGGCCCCGGTGGGGGTGGGGGTGGGGGTGGGGGGGACAAACACTCCTCAGCCACAACCCAGCTCCCTCCCTCTCTCCTTCTCTTTACCTTTCTTCTCCTGTGGTTGGATAAAAATATATCCAACCATTTGCGGTGGTTGCCTGTGAGCCAGATTATGAATCCATTGTGCAAATTCTTTTTTTTATCCTCACCTGAGGACATTTTTCCTTTTTTTTTTTTTTTGTTCAGGTAGAGTGGGAGGGAGAGAGAGGAACAGAGAGAGAGAGAAACATCGACGTGAAAGAATCACATCGAGTGGCTGCCACCCGCATGACCGACCAGGGCCGGGGACAAACTGCAACTGAGGTACGTGCCCTTAGCGGGAACCGAACCCGGGTCTCTCTGGACCGCAGGCCGACGCTCTAACCACTGAGCCAAACCGGCCAGGGCCATTGTGCAAATTCATTTTGCGTTTCCTATATTTTCCAGAATTTATCAAGTGAGCATGTATCATTCATGACTAGGTTCCCCCTGGGGGGCGCAGAGGCCAGCTCCAAGTGTCCCCTGCCTGTCCAGGCAGGCGCAGGAACATGAACAGAGATGAGCTCACACAGCAGTGCCACGCCGGGGATGTTCCTGTGGCTGCTCTCACAAATCACAACCACTGAATGGCCACGGACAGCACACACTTATCCGATGGTTCTGGAGGGCAGAAGTCCCACGTGGGTCTCACGGGCCTGTGCATTCGCTCTGGGGAGGGGACACCACCCTGTGTATGTCTGTCCTCCTGAAGGAGTTTGGGGGGACCAGGCGGGGACCCCGACCATATCTGAGGTGGGTATTGCCACTCACTTTACAAATCTGGCGTCACTGGGTTAGGGACCTCTCTGTTCTCTAAGTTGGGACCCACACAATAGTCTTGAGCAATTTTGTTCAGAAAGCCAGGATCCTCCTGTTACCTCCCATAGCAGCTTGAGCCCCACCCTCATCCATGCTGGGGGGGGGCACTGAAGGGCCACTGCACCCCATCCAGGGCCAGGTTTGTGATCAGGCCTGAGAACGGACACCTTTCCCGCTTCCAGCCACAGCTGGTTCAGCAGTGAGCCAAGGACAGAAGCTGCCAGTCCCACAGGGAACTTTTTCCACAGGGAAAGGCTGAGTCGGTGAGGCTGAGACAGGGAGCCGCAGGCATTAGTCTGCAGTCACTGGGGGACAAGCTGCCTGAGAGCAAAGCCATCAGGAAGGAGCACAGACAGACTCACGGAGGGAAGGAGACTCCTGGATCCAGCCATGCCTGAAACCAGGGGACCTCTCCTTGGGTATTTTTGTTGCACACTTCCCCAAACCTCCCTATGGCTAAGGCAGTTTGGGCTGAGGACACTCAGACAGTCCCTCATCAAGCAGGGACCAAGTTCCACACAGAGGTCAGATGCAAGATAAGAGGGGAAAGTCAGAATTCTGTGAGGCAGATAATCAGGGCCAAGGTAACTGGAAGAATGTCAATGCACCCTCAGGACGTGGGGGCTGGGACTGGGTGGATCAGGCCAGCCTCCTCCAGGCCTCAAGGGGCAGGAAGACCTCCACTGACCCCAGCACAGCCTGGGTTTTGGGGGCTGGATAAGAGTTGTGCAGGTCCTCCGGACGGGTTTAACCACCTCCTCGATAAACACTTGCGCCCTGTGAGATCCTTGCTGTTGTCAGTATTCAGTATTGAATATCTTGAGACACGGCTTTCTCTGATCTGGAAGGTCCAGGAAAATGTCACTGGTTTCAGGCATGGCTGGAAGTTCCCTGAGGCCACACTTCCTATATAAGGAGGGGTGGGGGGGTTGGTGTTATCAGAGGTCCACAGGCATAGATTCTTCCCCTGCCAAAGGCGTGTTCCGGGGGCCCTGGAGTCAGACTCAAGTTCATAGTCTGGCTATGCCCAGTCCTGCAGCCACTCCTTGGGCAAGTCCCTTTCCTGTTCGGAGCTTCCCTATTTCCATCTATAAAACACAGGGAAGCCCCAGTCTGAGTGCTCGTCAGAAACTCCGAGGTACGCTCTGTCCTCATGCACCGGACTCTGCAGCACTTCAGAGTTCTGTGACTGCTCTGCAAAAAAAGAGCGAAAAATTACTGAGCACTTGATACACGACAAGCCATTGTCTACACGGATTAATTCAGTGCTCTCAACTACCATAGGAGATAGATGTTACTCTCTGTTCTACAGGTGGGGATGCCAAGGCGGACAGCTTTGGTAGCTTTCCTAGCATCTTGTAATGTTCGTGACAGGTTTAGGGATCAATATTATGTTGGCCTCACAAAATAAGTTGGGAAAAGGCTCCCTCGTTTTTTATTTTTTTTGGACAGGTTGGATACAGTTGGTGGTATTTCTTCGACTGTTTAGAATTTGTCAATGAAACCATCTGAACCTAGAATTTTCTTTGTAGGAAACATTTAAATTATGGATTAAATGTATTTAATTGGTATAGGACTACCCAGGCTTTCTATTTCTTCTAGAGTCAGTTTTGATAAATTACATTTTATTTAAACTTCAAATTTACTGTCGAAGTTGGTCATACTACCCTTTTATTATCCTTTTAATGTTTGCAATACCTGTAGTGATGTCTCTTTTTCATTCCTGATATTAGAATTTGTGTGTGTGGGAGTTCTTACCCAATATTTCCAGGGGTTTATCAGTTCTATTAATCTCTTCAAAGAACCAGTTTGGGGCTTTGTTGATTTTCTCTCATTTTTGCTTTGTTTTATTAATTTCTGCTCTTATTATTTTATTCGCCTTTGGGTCGAATTTGTTATTCTATCTTCTTGAGTTGGAGGTTAGAGCATAAATATTTAATCTTTCTTCTAAAACTATAAATTTTCCTCTCAGCATTGTTTTACCTGCATCCCATAATGTTTGATGTCACATTTTTACTATTGTTCACTTCTAAATATTTTGCAACTTCCCTTGTAATTTACTCTTTGACCCATGATTCTTTCTTTTAAAAAAAAAATCCTCACCCAAGGATATTTTTTCATTGATTTTCAGATAGAGCAGGAGGGATGGAGAGAGAGAGAGAAATATCGATGTGAGAGAGACACATTGATTGGTTGCCTCCCATGAGACCGCAGCCAGGACCAGGGATTGAACTGCAACCAAGGTACGTGCCCTTGACAAGAATCAAACCCATGACTCTTTGGTCCATAGGCCCACACTCCAGCTGCTGAGCCAAATTTCCAGGGTGACCTACTGATTATTTACAAGTGTGATGTTTAATTTCTGAGCACTTGGAGGCTGTCAAATAGTTTTACTGTTATTGAGTTTTAAATTAATTCATAGAGAACACACTTGTATGATTTCAGTCCTTTTAAATGTGTTGCAACGTTATGGCCCAGGATTTGGTTTATTTTAGTTAATATGTATTCTGTTGGCTGTATCTGTGTGAAGTGGGTCAGTTGGTCAGTCCTGTTGTTTGGACTGGGCTGTGTTGGCTCAAGGATACAGAAATAACCAGTGGGATAGAAGAGTCCAGAGCAGATCCTCACGTCTACATCACTCGATTTATTATGGGGACTCTTCCAATCAGTGGGGAAACAATGGTCTTTTCAAAAAATGATGCTGGGTCAACTGGATGCCCACACAGAAAATGCATGCGCTCTGGCCCCTTACCACACCATTCACAAGAATTAATGTGATCCATCGCCATGTGAACGCTAATTATACTTCTAAAAGAAAACAGAATATCCTTATGAACAGGCTTTAGCCATCAGACAAAAGACTGATAAAAGAGACTTCTTTGACCACCCGGCTGGTTTGGCTCAAGGGCGTGGGCAGGCGGAGGAAGGGCGGTGGCTTTGATTCCTGGTCAAGGGCATGTACCTAGGTTGCAGGTTCCATACCCGGCTGGTCTGGCTGGTGCAGGAGGCAACAAATAGACGACACCTTAGTGTTTCTCCCTCGCTCTCTGCCTCCCTTCCATTCCACCCCCAAATCAATGGAAACATTTCCTTGGGTGAGGATTAACAAAAACTTCATTGAGAGCAACTCCTGTTCGTTGTAAGCAACAGCAACCACAGAGTGGCACATAGTATTTGCAGTCTCTTCAACACCACGAAAATCCACGAATCCATCTCTAACACAAACCCACGTGTCGGGCCAGGGACACTATCCAGAATATATAAGGAACCTCTAGGAGTCAATAAGAAAATGGAGCCGGGTGTGAACCCAGGTGGCTGGGGCTCCAGCTAGGTCCTAACCGTTGGGCCTTGTGGGGGCAGTTTCTGCCGGTGGCCCTCCCTGAGCGAGTACTGGGAACTCGCTTGGGCCTCCTTAAGCCGGGAGGCGGCTCCGCCCCAGGGGTTGCCTTTTCCATAGAAGGCGAAGCCCCAAGCCTCGCCTCTCGCTGGCCAGAGTCGCTCGGTGAGCCCCGCGCTCCCCTCGCCCCCGCTGCTGCCAGAGCCCCAGGAGCGCGCGAGGCCCCGCGCACTGGGCGCCCCAGCCGGGCTCAGGTGCGGACGGGGCGGGCGCGCGTCCTCGAAGGTTTGATGTTAAGATCGAGATCGGCGGAGACGGCGGCGAGCAGATCCTGCAGCTGGAACTCCACCCCGGCCCCGGCGCCCGACATGCACATGCGGCGGGAGCGGTGAGCAGGGCGCGCGGGGTTCCTCCCCTCGCGGACGCGCCAGGGGAACGGCCAGGCCAGGGACGAACCCCGAGGGCGGCGCGGCGCAGAGCGGAGGTTGTGGCGGGGCCGGGCCGGGGTCCCGCTGGCTCCCAGCAGGTTGGGCTGTGCCTCCGCCGACCGTTCATTCACCTTCGAGCGCGGAGCAAATCGCTATTCCCCGTGGTCCTTCCTGACCCTGGCATCTGTGGGGATCTTTGTTATTTAATCCGGAATTTAAGAGAAGGTGACTCCGTGCTTTGAAAGGCTTGCGGCACAGAAACACGGTTGCCCCCAGCTGGCCGCAGCCCTGCCCTGGAGCCGCGCCCGGCCGGGCCTCTCCGTGCGCCCAGCCGGCGCGCAGACTCGATCTGGGCGCACACCGCGCCCCTTCCCGCCCTCCTCGCCCTCCTCGAGCGGCCAGCCTCCCACTTGCCCGCCAGGCCGCGCGGCCGGGCTGAGCGCTGTCTGCCCGCAGGTGCGGCGTCCCCCGCCCGTGTCCCCGCCATGGAGGTGCTGCGGCGCTCCTCGGTTTTCGCCGCCGAGATCATGGACGCCTTCGACCGCTCGCCCACCGATAAGGAGCTGGTGGCCCAGGCTAAGGCGCTCGGCCGGGAGTTCGTGCACGCGCGGCTGCTACGGGCTGGCCTCGCCTGGAGCGCGCCTGAGCGCGCGGCGCTCGCGCCGGGCAGCCGCCTGGCCGAGGTGTGCACCGTGCTGCTGCGCCTGGGTGAGTGTGGGCCCGGGCGGGTGGGGTCCCCAGACTGCCCCTCCCGAGCCGGTCGGCTGGGCCCCGCACACGCTGCTGCGCTTCTGGGTACAGCTGTTTCCGCACTGGCCCGCCCACCGGGTGACCTGGCCAGTAGCACCCTCCACTTCTGGGCCTCAGTCTCCCCCTGGGGCAGAGAGGGGCTGGCCTGGGGGTTGCCGGAGTAACCATGCGCACAAGGCAGGCCACCCAGGCGATGCTCCCCCTCTCCCTCCTAGCCCTGTGTTTACCCTCTCCGGCTCTGCTCGGGTGCACTGCAGACCTCCCACAGACTCCCCGACTTGCCTGCTCAGTCCATGCAGACATTCTGGCCATAGAAGATACAAAGTTGCAGGGAGAATAATGTTTTCGTGGCTAAATTTCCAGTGACCCTTGTTCTCGGCTGGGCACAACTATCCTTTGTCGGACCACATCCCGATGTTTGTTTTGGAAAATAGGTCCTTTCGGATACTGGCTGAAATCCCGCTCTCTGCTGCTCTTTCCTCTTGGTTTGGAGGCCTCTAAGGGCCCCCAGCAGAACTGGGTGCCCAGGACAGCTGACACCACCATGGGGCGGGTCCGTATGGTCACGCACAGCCCCTGACTGTCTCCATCTTCTCCATTGTCTGGGCCCCTCACCCCTCAGTCCACCTCACCATGGGGACTGAGGGCCTGACCTCCAGCCATTATCATTCTGGGAGCGGGGAGCAGCAGGCAGCAGGCCCAGGGTGGGGAGAGGCTGACGCTCATGTCCGCTGCCCCCTGTTTTGTGTGGCCCTGGGAGCAGGGCTGCGTGTACTGGCCTCCCAGGAGTGTGAGGCGTAGATTCCATGGGGCCGTGCAGACGGCTGCAGGAAGCTGGTGTCCGACCTGGGCCTTGGGGGAAGGGAGAGGTTTCTGGGTGTGGAGAGCAAATGGGGTTTGGGGATGCCCACTGCTGTTTCTTCCAGCTGGGCGGGGGATGACACTGGGGGCGCCTTCTAGAGGACCACGGACACAGCCAGGACGAAGTCCCGCCTGGCCTGCTCTGTGACCCAGCCCCCAGCCTGGTGGGGCTGCCCCTGGGCCCAGCGTCCCTCTTGTTTAAGCTTGTCTGAAAAGCTCTGATTTGAACTCTGTGGGTCTGAAGGGCCTGGGTAGCTGCACTAGCCCTCTCAGAAACTGGGCCGTCAAGGCCCTTTCCCAGTGTCCAGCCCAGCATGTCCAGTCCCTGGGGCACGGCGCCTGCCAGATGGCCAAGGGGGCCCTGGAGGGTGGTGGCTTGGGTCTCCAAGCCTGTATGTCCTGTTCCCTGCATCCTGCCCTGGGCCCCAGCGTGCCCCCAGCCCCTCCTCAGCAGACGCCCAGCTCCAAGGGACAGTGCACACAGGAAGAAGCTGGGTCACATCCCATGGTCAGTCTCTCGGGACCAGTCCCCAGCAGCCCCCAGGTCTGTGTGGGAACAGCCAGGCCAGCCCTGGGAATTTCCATGCCCCCATCACCCCGCCTCTGCTCGGCTCCAGATCTTAATTAATTAGATGGTGTGCAGCTGGCCCCAGGGAGGACGCGGACGCCCTTATCAGCCAGGACTGTCCAGTCAGCGTTTCCCTGTTTGCTTTGGCTGAGAGGCTGGGCTGCGGGACACCCAGTCTGAGGGCTGTGGAATCCCCGGCATCGCTGCCAAGGGCGCCCTGGGGAGCACAGGCAGCAGACGGGACCGGTGACAGGGCCTGTCCTCTGCAGTGTGGCTGCCCAGGACACACCCATTGGCACAGGCACACAGTGGAGCCTGGGCAGTGCGGGGGCCCCAGACGATGGCTCTGTTTCTTGGTTCACCGAGCGGTGCTGGGGCCTGAGTGAGGTCAGCTTCTGAGGCAGTGGCCAGGGCTGCCCACCTGTGTGGGTCAAAATCCATGGCCTTGTTGGGGCTGGCTGCCTGCCCTGTCTGCCTGCCGCCCAGGCAGCTCACTGTGGGCCGTGAGTCACCCATCAGGCACGGGCCATGCTCCTCCTGAGATTCCCGCCCCACCGGCCCAGCCGGCTTCGCCCTGGGTGGGGGGTGGGCAGGCAGAGGCAGGTTTGGGGGGGTGCCCACCGCACCTCTCTGGTCTCCTTGTCCTCAGGGGCTATGTGGGGGAGGGGGTGGGGTCAGGTATAAGCCAGTCCGTGCAGGAAGGGTCTCCAGGCCAACTGGCTGTGGGGCTGAGGAGTGGGCAGGTCGCAGGCCCATGTGATGGGGGCTGGGGCCAGGCAAGGGGACCCCGCTGACCCCTGTGTGACGGCAGGGGACGAGCTGGAACTGATTCGGCCCAGCGTCTACCGCAACGTGGCGCGCCAGCTGAACATCTCCCTGCACTCCGAGAGCGTGGTGACGGACGCCTTCCTGGCCGTGGCGGCCCAGATCTTCACCGCAGGTGGGTCTGCGGTCCACCCCGGGAAGCCCACCGTGCGGGGTGGCTGGGCCGGGGCCCATGCTGCCTTCTTGGTGAGGACGGGCGCTAGGCAGCTGGCAGGAGCCTCGGTGGCTCCTGTTGGAAATCAGCTGGGCCCGAGGTGGTTCGAAGTCCAGCTCAGCTGCGTGCCCCGGGCTGCCGTGGTGCCGGCTGTTGGCAGGAGTGGGGCCGGGAGGCCGGCACGTGTCCTGTGGTCCGTGGGGCTTGGGCTCACAGCCGCGTGACCGGGACAGAGCAGGGCCTGAGTCACAGGCCTCTTTGGCAGCGGGACATGGGACTGCGGGATCCGGCTTCCTCGGGGCTGCCACTGGGCGGGCCAGCGCTCACCTCCCTGGGCAGAAGTTACCACCGCGAAGATGTTGTGGGGGTGCCCGGGAGGACTGGGGAACAGCAGGCTCCTCTGGAATGTTCTCCTGGTGCTGAGCCAGGTCCTGGGGAGCCCTGGGGCGTGGAGGGGCCTCTGTGTGGAGGGCAAGGTGGGTGTCCTGGCCTGACGCCGGCACGTGGGTGGCTGCCTGTGTGTCTCCAGGCTGTCGGGAGGCTGGTTTAGGAGCCCGAGGCTGGTTAGAGGACAGTTGGTCTGAGAGAAGGGCCGCTTTGGCCTGCTGGTGATTGGGTCAGAGCAGGGAGGCGGGGGTCTGGTCCCCGGGTGGTGTGGGTGTGCGTGAGGGGACAGGATGAGGACCAGAATGGGGCTTCCTACCCTAGCCTGCCCAGCCTTGCCCAGTGCAGGGACAGGCCTGAGAGGTGCCTGCCCCTTGCTGCCTGTGGGCTCCCGTCGCCGTCATCCATCCCGCCGTTGGGGTCCTTGGACCCTTCTGCCACAGGTGAGCCCAGCCATCGGGCAGTTGCCAGCCCTTGTCCCTCTCTGCCCACAGCCCCTCCCATGCTGCCCTGGGCCCTGCCCTCATTGACCCTCAGCCTGGACCGTGGTCTCCTCTCTCTCTGCCAGGCCTGGAGCCCTCTGGCTCAGGCTGGGGCCGGGGCTGGCTGGTGCTGTGGGCAGCTCCAGGGCTGCAGGGCAGGATTCTGTGGTGTCCGGCAGTGGCCGAGCCTCCTCCCGGGCAGAGGCAACGGACGCTGCTCCTGGCTGTGCTTGCGCTTCGGGCTTCTCAGCTCACCGCAGTGGACAAGGGAACTTTTCCCTCTCCGATTAAAAGTTAGCAGGAGCCCTGGCCAGTTTGGCTCAGCGGTTAGAGCGTCGGCCTGTGGTCCAGAGAGACCCGGGTTCGGTTCCCGCTAAGGGCGCGTACCTCGATTGCAGTTTGTCCCCGGCCCTGGTTGGTCGTGCAGGAGGCAGCCACTCATGTCCCTTTCACGTCACGTTTCTCTCTCTCTTCCTCTTTCTCCCTCCCACTCTATCTGAACAAAAAATGGAAGAATGTTCTCAGGTGAGGATAAAAAAAAAAAAAGTTGGCAAGAGTTTTCATTTTCCCCTTATCACAAGGCAAATTACTTTACCACACAAAGATCAAGGAAAGAAAAAGACGACCAGTTTAAAAATGAGTGAAGGGTCTGGACAGCTTTCCGGGGGTGTGCAGATGGCCCGTCACCAGGGAGACGCACACCAGAGACCCCTGGCGCCAGGACGGTCAGCGTCCGGCACACACACCGCTGAGGACGGAACACTGAGGAACCCCTTCAGCTGCTGGCGAATGGGCAGGGGCCGCTGCTTGGACACGTGCCAGTGTTTCTGAGGCAGTTGCCATGACAGCTCGAGAAACGAGCGCATCCGCACGGGGACGGTGCCCAGGTGTTCAGAGCAGCAAGATTCCTGAGAGGCAGGAAGGTGCAGGTGACCCGAGGGCATCACCGGGGCAGCGGGCAAACAGAGCATGGTCCGTCCGCGTCAGGGAAGACATCGGCCACAGAAGGACACGCTCCCCTCCCTGAGCCTGGCCACGTGCGAGGGAAAGGAGCCGACACGCTGGGACACTGACGCTACACTGACGTGTCCACAGCAGGCGAGTCTGCAGCACATGTGCCCAGTTCAGGGGCGGGCATGAGGGCCTGGGGGAGGTTGCGTTTCAGGCTGATGAGAATGTTCTGGAACTCGACGGTGGTGATGGTTGCACAGCTTTGTGACTATCGGAACACGGATGTCTCACCTCAGAAGGATGAATTGACGGTGATGATGTTGTATCTCCGTAAACGGCAGAACACAGAGGAGCTCAGAGGAAACAAGACGTCCCTGGAACACACTGTCCTCTCTGCGGATGGTGCCGCAGGGCTGCTGTCCCTCTCGGACCCCAGGCTCCATCCGCCTCCTGTTGGGCACCTGTGGGGCCAGGCGGGGGGCCCTGTGGCAGCTGGTAAATGGGGAGCATAGTGTGAGGGCCTGGGGGGTGCTTGGAGGGGGGACCTTGATCAGAATCCTGGGGGTGGGGCACTGCAGGCCTAAGAGGGACGGCCTGGCTTGGGGGCGTTTCAGACTCGGGCCTGTTGACAGAGGAAGAACAGTTACAGGGGGGAGCGACGTGGTCTGACCTATGATACGTTTGTTTCTAATCCTCACCTGAGGATGTTTCTCTATTTATCTTCAGATAGAGAGGGATTGAGAGGGAGAGAGAAACATCAACGTGAGAAACACATCGATTGGTTGCTTCCCGCACAACCCTGATCAGGGTCAAGGACGAACCGCAACCGCAACCGAGGTACGTGCCCTTGAGGGGAATCGGACCTGAGACGGTGGGTCTAACCGTGGAGCCAACGCGGTCGGAGCCAGTTCACGGTTTAGCGTGTCTGATGCTGTACACTCAGCGGGTTCACGCTGCGCCTGCTGCCGCCCAGTTTTCCCATCAGGAAGCGCACCCTGCCCTCGGCTCCCCCGCCCCTGGCTCCTGTCCCCAGCAGCCATGCCCCCGCTTCCTGGACATCACGCGGATGGACCCACACACGGGGCTCAGTGTCGTCGCTCTCGCTGAGCGGACGGCCAGGTGTCCGAGCTGCGGTCCTGTGGCCCAGCTGCGCCCGCTGTCTGGACGCCCCGTGGGGCGTTCCCAGCTTCTGGCGATTGGATCAGGCTGCCAAGGACGGTCCTGAACAAGCATCTACTCCAGCTGATTTATTTCATAGCGATCGCTGTGCTGCTGGGCAAGGTGGACGGAGGGCTCCCCTCGCCCGCCGTGCCCACGGGCCGGGCCCTGGGCTCATGTTGCCATCTGTGTCTCATCTCGTAGGTGTCGTCTGCATCCCGTGTCCGTGCTCCCCCTGGTTATTAGTGAGCTTTTCCGTGTCTCGCGTGTTCTTTCTGTTTTTCCTTTTGTGAAGCAGCTGTTCCTGTGCTCACTTCTCTTAATGTGTTTCACCTTTTTCTCACTGGTTTATAAACTCTCTTTATACGTTAGAGGGAATCACACCTTGTAACGTGCAGGCACCTCTCTGGGTGGTTATTCTGAGCTCTGCGCACCCCCGCTCCGGGCAGCGTGGTGGTCTGGGGAGGCCCTTCCTCCTGCAGAACATCCTCCTGCCCCAGAGGGCTGCCCAGGGGGACAGACTGGAGGGCAGATGCCCCTGGGAGCTGCTCACTGCCCACATCCAGCTGCCGGGCAGTCAGCACCCCCCTCGGTTGCCTCCCTGACGACTGCCCCCGGGAGACAGGACTGGCCCAGGTGTGGATGGAGGCCCAGGAAACCTCCGCCTAAGAACTGCCTGCAGCAGTGACGGCCAGCACCTGCCAGGTGGCGCCGTGTGTAGGGCCTGGCCCCTGAGCGTCGCCTCCGCCATCAGCCAAGTGGCCGGGGTGATGCTCAGTCTCTTCACGGGACCCCACACTGGACGAGAGTGGGGTTTCTGCGGCCTCTGACCAGCATCCTCCCCTGCAGGTGTCACCTGGGGCAAGGTGGTGTCCCTGTACCTGGTGGCCGCGGGGCTGGCCGTGGACTGTGTGCGGCAGGCCCAGCCCGCCATGGTCCACGCGCTGGTCGACTGCCTCGGGGAGTTCGTGCGCAAGACCCTGGCCGCCTGGCTGCGGAGGCGCGGGGGATGGGTGAGTGGGGTCTGGGGGGGAGGGAGGAGGGCTGGGCCACTGGGTGCAGGACCAGCTCTGCTACCCTGCCCTGTTGACCTCTCCCCCCCAACTTCAGCAGTGCAGGTGTCTGGGGAGCAGACTCGGCCCCCGAGGGCAAAGGGTCCGGTGCTGCCTTGTTCTCCCTGTGGTCCAGCACCTAGTGAGCTACCCAGGGAGCGAGGGCACTGGTTGTACCCCAGCACTGCCTCTGGGTCCCTGACTGCCCCCTGGCTGGCCAGACCCTGGGGCCGTTGGGGCCTGGGCACTGGGGCCGGCCCCGCCCACAGCTGTCTTCTCCCTGAAGTGGGTGGGGGAAGAGCGGGGCCCAAGGGCAGCAGGGCCCTGCTCCACCTCGGCTGAGGTCACTGCCTCCGGGAGACTCCTGTGCACCCAGCACTGGGACCCTGAGGCCTCTGTCCCCTCCTCGCCCTTGCCCATGGACATGGGGGCTCCCTGGCCAGTGGGCCCAGCTGCCTCCTCTCCCGCCATCTGACTCCTCATGGCGGGTGACTGGTCCCTGCTGGAGCCCTCAGCCCTGAGCAGACCGTGCGGGCTGCCTGTCGACGGGGCTGACCCGGGTGGAAGGCTCGGGGACTTGCTGCCCAGCTCTGCTCTCACTGTCCCCCCCGCAGACCGATGTCCTCAAGTGCGTGGTCAGCAGTGACCCCAGCTTCCACTCCCATTGGCTCGTGACCGTGCTCTGCAGCTTCGGCCGCTTCCTGAAGGCTGCTTTCTTCGTGCTGTTGCCGGAGAGATGAGCCCGGCCCGCCCGCACGCCCTCCGCCGAGCCGCCCTCCCGAGGAGCCCTCCGCACGCCCAGGCCCTCGAAGTGGGAAGGCGGGCTCCCGGGCCTGGAGCCGTCCCGTGGCCCTGCCCTTTGTGCCCCTTCTCCTGGAGCCGGGTCAAGGTCACCTCCTGGGCCAGGAGGAAGGCAGCTGGCAACTCCGAGCTCTCACCTGACGCCAGGGTCCCGTCCACAGAGGGTGACACGTCAGAGCGTCGGCCTGAAGGTGACCCAGGCCTGACGCGGCTGCAGGAGCTGTGGGGCGAGAGCGTCAGGCTGCTGCGCTCTGCTGAACCCATTTCTGGGGGGAGTCCTCCCCTGTGGCAGGGCGGGGCTGGGGCTCCAGCCGCACACCTGACCCGTGATGCACGAGCTCCCGACGGGGTGTGTGTTTGATCCCAATAAAGAGTCACAGCCATGGAGGGCAACCCGCCTGCGTTCCGTGTGCCCGTCCTTGTACGGCTGCCCGGGATCGGGCAGGAGGCAGGTGAACCCAGTGTGATCAGCCGTCTTCACTTGCTGCCTTCTGCCCCCGTGGGCCACACGCAGGAGCCCACGCACGACCCATTGCACACGCACACGCACACGCACACGCATCCTGCCCCGCGCACACAGGTGAACAAGAGCGGGGTGCGGCCACCTGCTTTCCACGACCCCGTCTGTCCTGGCCGTTCCCGTCCCTCTTCTTGACCGACAGGGCCTGTTCCCTCACTGCAGCCTGCCCCTCGGCCCTGGCCGGCTCCGGTCCGTCACCCTCCGCCTCCCGTCCAGGCCGCAGGCACACGGCGCAGGAGAGGGCTCCTGGTCTCAGCCTCACTTCCCCTCTCTACAAGGCAGTCAGACGGCTGCTCAGGTCTAGCCCTGCGCACAGGCCTCCTCCAGACGAAGCAAGCGTCCTGCGGGGCAGCTGTTGTCAGCGGACCCCATCGCCCCTTCCAGCCCCCGCACGGGGTCCCTCAGCCTCCACCCACACTCCCTCCCAGGGCCCGCAGGTGGGGAGAAGGAAGGAGTGGGCAGGAGAAAGGGATGCGGGAGGGAGGAAGGGGCAGCCATCAGCCGGGGCTGCACAAGGCTCCCCGCCTGCCCACTTGCTGCCATTCGCTTGGACGGAGCGTGCTGTGTGCAGCATACGCGTGCGGAGCGTGCTCAGGACAGCAGCGGCAGGCCAGTGGTCTTTCTGAACGTGCAGGTGGAAGGGACCTGGCACAGGGGCCCCATTTCCAACAGTGGCAAGAGGGTCACGTTCTCGGCGTGAGGCCTCTGAGGACGCCCAGCAGACAGAGCCCCCGCGGCTGGAGAGGGACCCGCACACGAGACCGTTCTCCACGTGTTCGTAAATGTCATGTCGTCCTTACAGAAAACACCAGGACTTTTCTGCCCCGCCCCCGGATCTAAACAACCTAGTTGTAAAGTTCATATGAGGGAAACAAAAAAGCAAAAACATCCAGAAAAACCCTTAGAAAGAAGAGGAATGAGGAGGAACAGGGCCGTCTGGATGGACCATCTGTCTGCCAGGCACCAGGCAGGGGCAGCCAGGCAGGGACTCGGGCCCCCAGACCCAGGCCCAGCCCGAGGACAAGCCGGAGGACGGCGGCAGCGTGGGCGGCAGGGGGAGAGGAGCTCATCACCGTGAGCCATTTGGGAAAAAACAAATTGGACCTGTACACTGCACTGTGCACCAGACGACTCCACAGGGCCAACGAGCTGAGGAGGAAAAACGAAACAATACCAGGAAAAACGAGTGCATTTCTTTGGAACTGAGGAGTGGGCAAAACCTTCCCAAATAAGATTTAAAATCTAGAAACATTAAAGATGGAATATATACTGGAAGGAAGTGTTGGTAACATGTAACATTTTCAAAAATATAACTTGAGACAAACCCATAATGAATGTCAGGGACAATGACAGGGACTTAGAAGACGTACGTGAAAAAAATTAAGTAAAAAAACGTATAATCTGCCCGGCCGGTGTGGCTCGGTGGTTGAGCGTCGACCCCTGCTCCATGAGGTTCGATTCCAGGTCAGGGCACATGCCCAGGTTGTGGGCCTGATCCCCAGTGGGGGGCGTGCAGGAGGCGGCCAGTCGTCCTCTCTCATCAATGTTTCTATCTCACTACCTCTCACTTCCTCTCTCTCTAAAATCAATAGAGGAAAAATGTATCATCTTAAATTGTGCATTGGAAACAGTGTGGACACTTAGAAAAGGTGCGTGTGCCCCAAGCTGAAGCAGCGCAGGGTGAAGGCCCATGACCTCAGCACCCTCACAGTCCAGTGAAGACAAGTACACAGTTTTCCCCTTGTGCCCATGGACCAGGCCGGGAGCGGGGCTGCGGCCTGCGGTCTCAGTCCCACCCCTCGCTCCACACCCCTGCTCCGGAGATTGGCCTCTGGGGCAGCAGATGTGGGGGTACTGGAGCACAGAGCCGTCAGGGCTGGGGGGCTCTGTGAGGCCAACGGTGGGATCATCGGAGCAACCCCCTGACCAGGAGAACAGGGCTGCGCTGGGTTGGACCCATCAAATGCACACAAGTACTGGGTTCGAGCAGGAGCGGAAGAGCTGAGGGGTGTGGGAAAAGGACTCAGTCCTTGGCCATCACCCAGGGTCAGGATATTCTCCCCCTAACAGTCGAAGTTAAAGTGAGAACAAAGAGGGGCTCTGTAGACCTGACGAGCCGGGGACTGAACGGCAGCCCGGCTGGGCAGGTCATGCTGGAAGGTCACATCCCACAGCTTCCTTAGCGAACGGCTCGTCTTCCCCTCGAGCGAGCTTCGCCCACCCAGACCCCCAGCCGGGCCCACCAGCAGCTTGCTCAGAGGACACTTGCTCTGCGTGTGGTCTCCTCCCCAAGCTCATGGGACCCTCCTGCACCAGTGACAAGCAGGCCTGTGTCTCCATTTCTCTCTATCTAAGCCCAGAGAGTCCCTGCCTCCTCCATCTGCCACCAGAGGACTTCTTGTGACCTTACATCTCCTGTGACCCTAAATTTATAAAAAGACTGGAAAGCACACTTCCTTGGAGCAGTCTCAATCCATGGAGATCTTCCTTCCGGCATGTCCTCAAAATCTTGGCTCAAATAAATTCTTTAAAAAAAGTTTTTTTTCTTTATTGATTTTAGAGAGGAAGGGAGAGGGAGACAGAGATATAAACATCGATGAGAGGACACCGACTGGCCGCCTCCTGCACGCCCCCCACTGGGGATCAGGCTCACAACCTGGGCGTGTGCCCTGACCGGGAACTGAACTGGCGACCTCTTGTGCAGGGTCGATGCTACACCCCTGAGCCACACCAGCCGGGCTCAAATAAGTTCTTATTAAGGCTTTTACAGGTTTGCATATTTATTTCATTGACAGCTGAGCTAGGCTTTCGTGCCGGCTTTCTGGTGTGAACATTTCAGGGTGCAGGGAAGCTCAGCCCCAGATGCGGAAGCAGTGACCACTCCACAGGGAGCCACCCCGGCCGGCAACCCTTTCACGTGGCGCCTGCTGGTCCCCGCATCCTTGGGGTGAGAAGAGCAGACTGTGAAGATGGCCGGCAGAGCCCCTCCAGGTTCCAGTCGTCTGGGAGCAGAGGACAGAGGAACACGGCCGACGTGACCAGAGCCCGGACGAGCCCAGACTATGCAGCCTGGGACGCCCTGAGTAGTGACCAGCTCCCCAAGTCAGAGGCAGGAGTTGGAGTGGAGGAGATGGCCCATCAGTCACTTGCTTCTCATTTCTTGGCTCTGGCCCGGGCAGGGCCCTCCCTGCGCCCCTTCCAGCACAGTAACTGGTGAGGTGCGGGGGTGGGAAGCAAACTTTAAAAGTCTGGAACATTCTCAGCTTGTCCACACTGAAAGTAATGAGCATGCTTGTTCAGAGCAGGCAGACAGGTGTGGCCAGATCTGATAAGGACATGAATACTGACTGGCCAGCTCAAAGAGGCTAGGGGCTATTGTGCAAGACCCTGGGGAAATCAGCCAGCCCCCACAGAAGCCAGGGCCTATTGTCCACGACCAGGAGAATGATGGAAGGCATTTCTGGGCGTGGGGTGCCTTCTTACAGGCTGAGGGTGAAAGAGCCTGCTCCCCACATTCCTGAGCCCCCCTCAGGGGCGTGCGCACCAGCTGTGGGGCTGTGCTACCTCCACCGAGACTCTGGAAGACGCCATGGCCCAGGGGCCGTGATCCAGGCAGAGACTAGGCCCTGCAGGGGCGAGGCGGCTGCAGAGGTCCCCCCAGGTGACCCCAGGTGGGCAGAGCCACTGGCGTGACCACCGCCCGGGAGGAACCTCCACCCTCCTGGGCCTAGAGGTAGACACTGGGCCAGAGGATTCCTGGGCCTTAAGGGTACAGCTTCGCTCAGGACCCAACCACTTTCCCTTTGGAACGAGCATGTCCACCCCACGCCGGCCCCACCACCGTACTTACAGGGAGAGGGGCTGTGCCTCAGGACGCATGCACCCGAGTTCCTCTCGCACCTGGTTCTTCTCGGATGCTCGGCTTCCCTGCACCCTGGCACCGGGCACCAGCCGTGCCCCTCTGACGGCTCATCACCAGCTCTGGTTCCCCTCGGGCTCCCAGGCCCCCACTGGTAACTCCTGTGAACCCCAGGCCCCCTCTGGTAACTCCTGTGGTCCCCAGGCCCCCACTGGTAACTCCTGTGGTCCCCAGGCCCCCTCTGGTAACTCCTGTGAACCCCAGGCCCCCTCTGGTAACTCCTGTGAACCCCAGGCCCCCACTGGTAACTCCTGTGGTCCCCAGGCCCCCACTGATAACTCCTGTGGTCCCCAGGCCCCCACTGATAACTCCTGTGGTCCCCAGGCCCCCACTGATAACTCCTGTGGTCCCCAGGCCCCCACTGGTAACTCCTGTGGTCCCCAGGCCCCCACTGGTAACTCCTGTGGTCCCCAGGCCCCCACTGATAACTCCTGTGGTCCCAGGCCCCCACTGATAACTCCTGTGGTCCCCAGGCCCCCACTGATAACTCCTGTGGTCCCCAGGCCCCCCACTGATAACTCCTGTGGTCCCCAGGCCCCCACTGATAACTCCTGTGGTCCCCAGGCCCCCACTGGTAACTCCTGTGGTCCCCAGGCCCCCACTGGTAACTCCTGTGGTCCCCAGGCCCCCACTGGTAACTCCTGTGGTCCCCAGGCCCCCACTGATAACTCCTGTGGTCCCCAGGCCCCCACTGATAACTCCTGTGGTCCCCAGGCCCCCACTGATAACTCCTGTGGTCCCCAGGCCCCCACTGATAACTCTGTGGTCCCCAGGCCCCCACTGATAACTCCTGTGGTTCCCCAGGCCCCCACTGGATAACTCCTGGGTCCCCAGGCCCCCACTGGTAACTCCTGTGGTCCCCAGGCCCCCTCTGATAACTCCTGTGGTCCCCAGGCCCCCACTGGTAACTCCTGTGGTCCCCAGGCCCCCACTGGTAACTCCTGTGGTCCCCAGGCCCCCACTGTGAACTCCTGTGGTCCCCAGGCCCCCACTGATAACTCCGGTGGTCCCCAGGCCCCCACTGATAACTCCTGTGGTCCCCAGGCCCCCACTGATAACTCCTGTGGTCCCCAGGCCCCCACTGATAACTCCTGTGGTCCCCAGGCCCCCACTGATAACTCCTGTGGTCCCCAGGCCCCCACTGATAACTCCTGTGGTCCCCAGGCCCCCACTGATAACTCCTGTGGTCCCCAGGCCCCCACTGATAACTCCTGTGGTCCCCAGGCCCCCTCTGGTAACTCCTGTGAACCCCAGGCCCCCTCTGGTAACTCCTGTGAACCCCAGGCCCCCTCTGGTAACTCCTGTGGCCCCCAGGCCCCCTCTGGTAACTCCTGTGGCCCCCAGGCCCCCAGTGGTAACTCCTGTGAACCCCAGGCCCCCTCTGGTAACTCCTGTGGCCCCCAGGCCCCCTCTGGTAACTCCTGTGGCCCCCAGGCCCCCTCTGGTAACTCCTGTGGCCCCCAGGCCCCCAGTGGTAACTCCTGTGAACCCCAGGCCCCCTCTGGTAACTCCTGTGGCCCCAGGCCCCCTCTGGTAACTCCTGTGGCCCCAGGCCCCCACTGGTAACTCCTGTGAACCCCAGGCCCCCACTGGTAACTCCTGTGGTCCCCAGGCCCCCTCTGATAACTCCTGTGAACCCCAGGCCCCCTCTGGTAACTCCTGTGGTCCCCAGGCCCCCTCTGATAACTCCTGTGAACCCCAGGCCCCCTCTGATAACTCCTGTGAACCCCAGGCCCCCTCTGGTAACTCCTGTGAACCCCAGGCCCCCTCTGGTAACTCCTGTGGTCCCCAGGCCCCCTCTGGTAACTCCTGTGGTCCCCAGGCCCCCACTGGTAACTCCTGTGGCCCCCAGGCCCCCACTGGTAACTCCTGTGGTCCCCAGGCCCCCACTGGTAACTCCTGTGGTCCCCAGGCCCCCACTGGTAACTCCTGTGGTCCCCAAACCCCCGCCTGGTAACTCCTGTGGTCCCCAGGCCCCCTCTGGTAACTCCTGTGGTCCCCAGGCCCCCACTGGTAACTCCTGTGGTCCCCAGGCCCCAGGGGTGGGTGCTGTTCCTGCAGGTGTTAGCCCCCTGCAGCTAGAGCACCCCTCTCCACACCACGTTTGTGTTCTTGGTGTGGCTTCCGATACCCTGGTGTGTGAAGAAAATAAAAAGCTTTGTTGGTAAGCACCTGTGGAAGCATTCGGGGTCAATGACATTATGTCTGAAATTTGCTTAAAAATACTGCAGCAGAAAGAAGGGGAGCACAGGTGGAGCCCCGGGATGGAAGCAGCGGCAGGCGTGTAGCTGGGCGACAGGACAGGGTGGGTGAATGTCTGTAAACTCTCCCGACAGCAGGAAAGAAATCAAACCAGCCTACAGGACAGAGTAGCAAAATGAACGCACACAGCGACGCTGAGCTCACAAGGCCCTCCTGCCTCGGGAACCCCCTGTCCTCATGGAGACGGCTCCTCGGCTCCTCCAGCTCGTTGAAATCACAGCAACCTCTTCTGCCCTCTTTGTCTTCAGCTCATCACCGGCCCCTCTACTGAAGGTTTATAAATATCTAAGATCTTATCAGAAATGCAGGAAGAAAGAGAGAGTCACCCTTTCTTAGTTTTTTGGGAAAAGACTCTGGAAAAGTCACCGGCAGATGCGGAGAGGGACAGTCCGCACACATCATAGTTATCAAAATGCTCAGCCATAAAAATAAAGGCCTTTTATTTGGTTTTCTATCCATTACAGGACCAGGGGACAACATCCTGGAGCCCTGGGACCTGCGCCACACCCACACCTGCTGCAGCCTCCGTGAGAAGCCCAGTGTCACGTCCCGACACCCGTGGCCTGGATGGAGCTCTGCTCTGGGTCACGGGGTCACCTTCTTGTAGGTGATGTGAAGATGCTGAGTCATGGGCTGGGTAGTGGTTGCCATGGAGACTGTCTGTTCAAGTTTGCCTTCAGAATTCAGCCTGAATTTTCGGGTGATCTGAGAAGAACAAAGCAAATACAAAACACCTTAGTTTCATCTTCCAAAGATACAACGGAAGCCCGAGGCCCCTGCAGGGCAGCCACACGCCACCTCGCTGCGAGTCAGAGGGTGCACTGTGCCGACCGCGTCCTGAGCACTGGGAGCAGCAGAGCAGAGGCCGGCAGCACAGGCTACTGGTGCAGCTGCCTGGAAGCTGCAGCGGACACACGCAGAGAGCCCCGCCGCGTCCCTGCAGGTCGAGGGGGAGGGACGGACGGAGAAAGAACAGACGCATGCCCGGCGCTTGCCTGTCAGCCACACCTGGGGACAGGCCACTGGCCAGAGCAGACATGGCCCCTGCCAGCCCGGGATGGCTCGCGATGTTTAATCTAAACAGAGGAGTTCACTCTCTTGCATTTTTGGGACTCTTGTCGGGGTGGGGGGTTCGCGCTCTCAGCTCCCCTGCATTTGCCCACATGACGCACGGCCACATAATGGACCGATGGATGGACTGCAGACAGCCCGATGCTGTGCTGGACCCAACATGGAGCAGACACTGGACACTGGCTTCACTTCCAGCTCAACTGAACCCCAGCTGCACCTGTTCCAGGACTGGGCTACGGGAAATGGGACTTGGAAACCCAAGTCTGTGATTCCACGGAGATAAAACTTTCCACCACATCTCGTCCCCCTGTGGGGCCTCCGGAAACGCTTCTTCCAGTGGTGCCCAAGGCCCCACTCCCACTAGCGATGGAGAAAGACCACCCACGCTTTTCTCCACGAATAAGATGACACTCTGCCCACAGAGCCGTGGCACGTACCAAGACCCAGGAGTCCTGAGACCTGGTCTAGATGAACAGACAAACACTCGACTTGGTCCCTCACATCTTGGGGTACTTAGAAGCCACCTCTCTTCCTGTCTGTGAGCCCGACACCTGCTAAGGCGAAGCTGACAGCCCGAGCAGCGGCAGCGGCACTGTGGGAAGGAGCCGTGGAAGCTGCTCCGGCGAGGCACCCGCAGCCCGTGAGGAAGCTCCGCCCGGGCTGTCTGTGGACCCGTGGGCAGCCACGACAGCTGCCCAGAGACGGCTGGGGGCACCCTTCCGAGTGCCCAGAGCATCTCAGGCCCCAGGAGCACACGGAACAGGAGTGCTGTTGGGCTGTGACTGACCGACTCTCTGGCAGAGGAAGAGCCAGATGGCGAGGAGTCCACCTAAAGGCATCAGGACGCCACCAAGGCTGCAAGGACCCGGGCCCCACAGAGAAGGGATGCGCAGGAGACCGGAGGTGGCTCCGTCACCTGCCGTCGGCTTTCTGCACGGCTGGGTGGCTCTGAATGCCCACACGCACTCACACCCGTCTCACTGCACAGGGACCCCAGTGTCTCTGTCTTCAGTTCTGTCTGCGCCAAAACCTGAAAATGCCCTGTAGCAGCCGTCCTGCTCCAAATAAGCAACTTGGCAGCAAGAAGCAGGTGAACAAGAGACGCTGGGAGTGGTCACCGTGCCGAGACACCGAGGCGACCTCTGCCTGGGTCCCAGGAAGAGCAGGTGAGGGCTGCCCATGCCCACTGCCCCAGGTGTGCACAGGCACGGAGAGCGGCCTCCTCGGTGACATCTCAGGGACAACAGTCGGCTATCACAGTGGCTGGCTCAGCACCAAAGCCGGTGATGGCAGTGCCTCCCCGAGAGCCATCTGCCAGGTCCTTGGAGCTCTGTGTCCCCTTGAACTTTCTTGTGCTATTTTCTTCTTCAAATTAAAGTTATTTGGGAAGATCTGAAGTTGAGGCAGATGCACACTGCATCACTCAGGCCAAACAGACCTCTTCTGGTGCCCTGGCCTCTGGTGCCAACTAGCAACCCGGTGAGGTCACTGATAACTGGGTGCTGCCTGGCCGGTGTGGCTCAGCGGTTCAGTGTTGACCCTGCACCAGGAGGTTGCCGGTTCAATTTGGGTCAGGGCACATGCCCAGGTTGTGGGCTGATCCCCAGTGGGGGGCGTGCAGGAGGCGGCCAGTCGATGTTCTCTCTCATCGATGTTTCTATCTCTCTCTCTAAAATCAATAAAGAAAACAATACTAACTGGGTGTTCCGAGGCTGCCAGAGACCCATCTGAGCCACAGGCTGGTCCTCATTTCAGTAGGTGGGGTTGGCCCTGTTGACTGCCAAGTGGAGTCGCTCAGGCTGCCATGAGCCCATGTTCTGGGGAGGCCCCACAGCGGGGGCTCCACTTCTCAGACAAGGGCAGCTCTGAGCCTCTGAAGCTACAGGAAGACAGTCTGTCTTTTTGGGGGGTGAGGGGCACCCAGATTCACTGTATCAGAATATGCATTTCAACATAACCCCTAGATTCATCAGCACACTGAAGTGTGAGAACCGGTATGAGTGACAAACAGTTAATTTGCTTAAAGTGTGGCCACCACAGTGCGGGCAAAAGGGCATTTCTGAAGATTCCTGGGTGGAGCAATCAACACAGTGTTTAAGACACTGCACGGGGTGAGGGATCGAAGGCTGGCCACGGGGACGGGCAGTGGCTGGGCCGTGTGGGTGTGGCCTGATCGAGTGAGGAGGACGCCAGGTGACGGAGAGGCGGTGAGAACGACTCCGGGCTGAGCCCTGGTCCCTCAGCTCTGACTGTCCGGACCCTGGGCCAGCTTCAGTGCTGAATTAGAAGAAGACGGTCCTGCTGGTGAAGACACCCCTAGCTGTCCTGACTGGTTTCCGCGGCTGCCAAGACCATTCAGTGCAGAAAGGACAGTCTCTTCTGCTGATGGTGCTGGGAAAACTGGACACTCACATGCAAAAGACTGAAGCTGGACTCTTATCTAACAGTATATACAAAACAGTGACTCAAAATAGATCAGAGGCTTGAATATAAAAGCTAAATTTATAAACCTTAGAAGAAAACATGGGCAAAAGTTTCATGACACTGGGCCCAGTGACAAGTTCATGGACATAACACCAAACACATACCAACAAGAGAAAAAAGTACACAAAGTGGACTTCATGAATATCTTTTTAAATGTGTACATCAAAAGGCACTGTCCACAGAGTAAGAAGACAGCCAACAGAGCGGAGGGAAAGAGCTGCCGGTCATCTATCTGATGTTAGAATTAATGTCCAGAATACATCAAGAACTCCTACGGACCTGGCCGGTTTTCTCAGTGGTTAGAGCACTGGCCTGTGGTCCAGAGAGACCCGGGTTTGGTTCCCACTAAGGGCGTGTGCCTCAGTTGCGGTTTGTCCCCGGCCCTGGTTGGGTCTTGTGGGTGGGGACCACTCGATGTGTCCCTTTCATGTCGATGTTTCTCTCTCTCTCTCTCTCCCACTCTATCTGAACAAAAAATAGAAGATTGTCCTCGGTTGAGGATAAAAAAAAAAGGACTCCTACAACTCAACAACCAAAAAAACCAAACTACCCTGTTCAAATATGGACAAAGGACTTGAGCAGACATTTCTCCAAAGAGGACGCGGTGGCCGATAGGCCCATGAACAGCTGCCCGACAGCACTGACCGTGGACAGGCAAACAGAAGCCACAGTGAGCCTCGCCCACCAGGACGGCTGCTCTCGGGACCCAGGAAACACCGAGTGCTGACGAGGGTGGGGCACTGGAGCCCGAGCCTGTTGATGGGAATGGAAAACGGTGCAGCCACTGAAAAGCAGTGTGATGGTTCCTCGAACAACTGAGCACAGTGACCACATGACCGCAGCGCCACTCCTGGACACCGGCAGGGAACTGACGCCAGGGTCTCAGAGACATTCGCACCCCCGTTCACAGTACCCTCACTCACAACAGCCGAAACACGGAAGCAACCCCAGTGCCCACGGGCAGACGAAGGATAAACCGGCCCATCCACACAAGGGGAACCAGCCTTAGGAAGGAAGGGATCCTGCCACGATCTGGATGGACCCGGAGGACATGGTGCTGAGCACAATGACCAGTCACAGCAAGACAGAGTTGTCAAAATCATAGAGACTGAAGGCAGATGGTGGCCGCCGGGGGACAAGGGTGAGCCATGCGTCAACAGACACCGAGTTTCAGATTTATGAGAGCGATGGAGACAGAGGTGGTGGTGATAACTACACACCAATGTGAATGTAAGAACCACTGAAGCGGACACTTGAAAATGGTTACGATGATAATGTTTTTGTTTTATGTATTTTTTTTTTTTTTTTTTTATCCTCACCCGAGGACATTTTTCCATTTTTTGTACAGATAGAGTGGGAGTGGGAGGGAGAGAGAGGAAGAGAGAGAGAGGGAAACATCGATGCGAAAGGGACACATCGAGTGGCTGCCACCCACACGACCAACCAGGGCCGGGGACAAACTGCAACCGAGGTACGCGCCCTTAGCGGGAACCGAACCCGGGCCTCTCCAGACCGCAGGCGGACGCTCCAACCACTGAGCCAAACCGGCCAGGGCTGTTTTATGTATTTTAACTCAATATAAATATAGTGGAAAAGAGCCCAGCTGGTGTGCTTAGTGGTTGAGCGTCGACCCATCCAAGAGGTCGCCAGTTCAATTCCCAGTCGGGGCACATGTCTCTATCTCTCTCCCCCTCTTCCTTCCTCTTTCTCTCAAATCAATCAAGAAAAAAATGTTAAATTATTGGAAAAGAAAAAAGTTGGGAGTGAATGGAAGCCGAGGGCGCTGTGCCAGCAAGCCGGCGCCTCGAGAAACGCCGATGCAGGTCTGCGGGAGGAAGGGAAGAGCACGTCAGAAACTCGGATCCACGGGAGACAAGGGCAGCGAGAGGAAGTAAGTGGGTAACTGTAAGAGATCACTTCCCCTCGCTGAAATTTTTTTGAAAGTCAACTGCCTATTTAAAGCAGAAGCAACACCACAGCGAAGGTCCTCGGAAAGGGCGCCACGTGCCACCTTCGAAGGGCCCAGGTGGTGGCAGCAGCACAGGAGGGGGGAGTGGCCGCAGCTGTGAGGCGAGGCCCTGGGGGAGGGGAGCGCAGCGCAGTGAGCACCCGGGCCAGGTGGGGATGTGACAGCGCAACACTGCCGCGAGTCTCAGACAGACAGCCCTAGACGCCACTGGAGAGACCCAGCCCTGGCCGCTGCAGCTCAGGAGGCTGGGCACGTGCTGGGCACTGAAAGGTGGCAGGTTAGATGTCCAGCAGGGGGTGTGCAGGAGGCAGCCAATCGGTGTTCTCTCTCATTGATGTTTCTGTCTCTCTCTCCCTCTTCCTTCCTCTCTCTCTGAAATCAATAAAGGGAAAAAAAGATTTAAAAAAAGCAAACATGACTCATCGTTTAGAGTTATTAATACAATTCACTGCATTGACAGCTTCAAGTAGAAAAACCACAGAATCCTCCCCAAAGAGGCTGCAAGAGCATTTGAAGAAACTCAAAACCCTTTCCTGAAAACAAGTCTCACACACTAAGAAACAGGATCTCCCTGACCTGGCAACGGCGCTCTGCAGGCTGCAGCCCACAGCGAGTGTCCCACAGGGCGGAGACACAGCAGCGCCTCAGGAAGTCAGGCCCGAGGTCAACATGTCCCCTGCCGCCCTGACAGTGCCGTGCAGAGACCCAGTGGTCAGAAATTCACATACATGACCTAGGTGTACAGAAACACACAGAAACCAGAAGTTTCCCCATAACCACCAACAACCCATTGAAGAAGAAATGAAAACAGCACTCTGCACAGAGCAACACAGACTGGACAGCACGCAAGGTGCACCTGCCACGGAGCGTATGAGACCTACGCGGCGGAGACGGTGACAAACAGGCTCTGGTGTCTACGGACGCGCCCACAGGACCAGGGCCACTGCGCACACCACACGCGCTGTGTAGCACTGCCCACGGAGAGACACCAGTTCTCCCCAAGCTAACCCGTGTATTCACACAATCTTGATGTAAATTTTAAGGATCTGGACAAGCTCACTGAACAGATTATCTAGATGAGGAAATGCTTAAGAATTAACCAAGGAAATTTAGCATTTAAAAAAATCCTCACCTGAGGATATAATTTTTTTAAATTGATTTTTAGAGAGAGAGAAAAATATACACATAGAGAGAGAAATACACATACAGAGAGAGAAACAGTGATTCAAGAGAGAAACATCAGTCAGTTGCCTCCCACATGTGCCCCAACTGGGGATCGAATCCCTGAATTTTCAGTTTACAGGACGTCGTTCTAACCAACTGAGCCACACCAGCCAGTGCTAACCAAGAAAATTTTAAATTTAATGTAACTTTCCCTGGACATTAAAATACAACATAAAATTATGGTGACCTTAAATTATTAGATGACTGAAATCACTACTGAAGACGTAGACAGACATAAAGAGAGAGACAGGCCCCTCCCCCATCTATGGGGGTGTGGCTGACAGGCATGACATTTCGAATCTGTGGGGCCACTGGTGACCCATCTGGAGAAAGTCAGAACTGTACGTTGCATCCTGTGAAAACAAATCTGAGAGAGACTAAAGGTCAGAATGTGAAAAGGAAAGCTACAAGAACACAAGAAAATGGAAGAATAATTTTATCATTTTGGAGAAAACACCTTCCTGAGCATAAACCCAAATCCACACACCACAAAGAAAAAGATTCTGAGGCAACTACCGAAAAGCCTACAACCTGTGGGTGGAGCACATCGTAACCAAGGTCACTCAGCCACCCAGTGGGGAAACCTTTGTCACATGCACAGCAGACAGGAGACTCACATCCACAGGTACAAAACACGCTCACCAACCAATAAAATGAAAACCCACGGACTATCAGGTGCTGACTGTGAACTTCAAGTACACAAAACAAATGGCCAATGAGTGTGGGGAGTGTGCCTTCTCACTCATAAGTTAACTTTAAAACATGGATTAGCAGTCATCTTACCAGATTTGAAAGCATCATAAATCTGAAAACACGACACGTTGCTAAATAAGTGGGGCGGCAATTCTGGCAGAAATACAATTATTAAGAAAGGGAATTTTACTGTATCTATCAAAATTTAAAGTGTACCTATCCTTGACCCAGCAATTCAACTGGGAGGCGTCTACCCAGCAGAGGTGCTGTCCCTGCTCAGTGGACAGTGCAAATGCGAAAGGGTGTTTGTGACAGAAAACAGCAGCACGTGCAGGAGGGGAGAGAAGGATGTGCAGAGACAAGTCCCCGTGACGAGTGGGCAGTCGGAACGATGTGCGGCCTGCTTGTCATGAAAAGTTGCAACACGAGCAACACTGAGGGGGCGGGACGGGACGGCTCACCTGCTCCACGTGGGGCTCCTTGGCGAAGGAGATCCTCGCAATGGAGTGGGATGCGATGCACAGCTCCTGCCCGTTCACCTCGCCCTCCTCCACCTCCACGATGCCTGCAAGGGAGGCCGTCAGCCGTGGCAGCCTGCCCGCGGCGCCTGCGCCCAGCTCCTACTACACCTCTGCATTCACGGATCCAACAGGTCTGAGCCCTGCAGCCATCAAGGCCACGAGGGCCCTCGCCGGCAATGACCCTCCTGGCATCAAGAGGGAAGAAACTAACTCCTCGTACAGCCAAGGCAGGTGACCCAGAGGTCACCCTCTCCAGGGGGCCCTGACTGAAACTTCTCCCCCCTCCCCCCAGCAAATAGGTTCCCTGGGATCTGAGAAGAGGGAAAGGCAGCCAGGGGAATGGACATCCCTCTGCTGCCCAGTGACTTCCAGCCCATCGATGCCCTGGACTCCATTCAAGACCGGGCTGGTCCTGCCTGGCTGGTGTGGCTCAGTGGTTGAGCATCAACCCTGCACTGAGAGGTTGCTGGTTCGATTCCTGGTCAGGGCACATGCCCAGGTTGTGGGCCCGATCCCCAGTGGGGGGCGTGCAGGAGGCAGCCAATAGATGTTCTCGCTCATGGATGTTTCTATCTGTCTCTCTCTCAAAAAAAAAAAAAAAAAATCAATAAAGAAAAAATAATAATAAAAAAAAAGACTGGGCTGGCCCTAACTGTCCACTTGCTTCCAGGAATTGAGATTCACCTGAGCCAGTGAGCAGGTAAAGGTCAACAGATAGGTTCTGAGTAATTTCTAACTGATGAACCTGGGAAGCTCTCTCAGGATGACCTCCCTGGCCTCCTCTCTCGACAGCTCATCCCACAGCAAACGCGAGCACGGAGCACGGAGCCGGGGCTGGAGCCGGGGCCTGTGCTGTCGCCGAAGGAGCGCAGGTGAAAGAAAGCCGCTCTCACAGAGATGCTCCTGCAGCCCACCCACCTTCTGGGGACCCCAGAGAATGCAGACAGGGCCCAGTGCCGGCTCCCCACCTGCCGGCCCCACTGCACTTGTCCTGATGCTTCCTGCCCTGACAGGCACCCACAGGATCAAGTCTGTGTCCCAACTGACCCCCACAAACGCGTCTGTGAGCAGGGACACCGCAGGGACCGAGAGAGCAGGGGCAGAGGCTACCTCTCCCAGGGGCCACTGGCCGGCCCGCAAGAGGTACCTGTGTTCTGGGCGCTGACGAAGGCCACCTTGTTGGTGTCGGGCTCCAGCCGGATGAAGCCGCACTCCCTGTGCATGGGCTTCCGCGTGTCCGGGTGGAAGGCGTTGAACCTGCATGGGGAGCAGGGCGGAGCAGACCAAGGTGAGTGCAGGGACTCGGGCCCCAGCCAGGCTCGTGGCCACCCCCACTTGGTAAGGCCCTCACCAAGCACAAGGCAATGTGCTTCTCGCTCACGTGGGAACAGACACGCAGGCAACCAGGTCGTGAGCTGTGGGCACAGGTGCACCAGGGCTGCTGCCTCTAGCCTGGAAGCCCCTGGAAACCCCAGCCCACTGCGCTGTGCTCAGCGCCACCTTGAGGACGGCAGCGTGTTCTTTAGAATCTGGGGCACCGTCCCAAGGCCCTCTCAGCCCGACACGCTCCAGGCTCAGCACCAAGCCAATCCCACCCTATCCCAGGCCTGCCCTCCATGAGCTGTCGTCTCAGCCTGGACGCCACCCATCCACAGAACAGGCCGGGGTTAGGACTCGGCTCTGACCCGCCAGCCTGTGTCAGTGCAGGCCCCGGTGGCCGGGAGAGCCGCCGCGACCTCTGGGCAGGGCAGTGCGGGTGGCACAGCGCACGCGCTCCACACCCTGACTGAGCGCTCTAGACCACAGCCCAACATACACACCATCCCACTGATCAAACGACACTTGTACTGCTTTCTGCTTTGCTTCTGATGTTAGTCACAGTGTTCCCTTTGGGACGTAACCCACTGTTTAAAAAAACAGCTTTAGCCCTGCCAGTGTGGCTCGGTGGATCGAGCGTTGTCCATGTTTGATCTCTGGTCAGGGTTTCGGGCTTGATCCCCAGTAGGGGACTTGCAGGAGGCAGCCGATGTTTCTCCTTCACATCCATGTTTCTATCTCTCTCCCTTCCTCTCTCTAAAATATTAAAAAATAGTAATAAATAAATAAAACAAAAACATTCCCAGCCATCCCCTCTCGTCCCCCCCCGCTTTAGCCACCCTACATTCTGACCTGCCTCCTGAAAAGCACTGTGTGCCTCCCCCTGTGTGAGTGGGGCTGGGGTCACACATCAGCTGAAGCCGGGCTCTGCTGTCTAGTGAGCTGAGGACCACAGAGTGAACAGCTCCTTTGCGACCTCGGCCAGTTCAGGGTAAGTCTAAAGGACAGCCAAGCCCTCTCCTCTCCAGCAATGTTGGGGTGAGAGATTTAGTTGAGTGTGAGCACTCTGTGTTTGGGGTCACACCCGAGATCTCGCTGGCCCAGCGCCGTCACATGCACAGGAGCTGGGACGCCCTGTCTCTGCCCACCACGCGTCTCACGCAGGGTGCAGGGGTGGAGGCGCCTCTCTGGGACACTCTTCCTGCCGGCACTCTCCCGGACACTCGGCACACTTACGAGAAGTTGAGCATGGGCTGGCCCACGTGAGAGATGTGCACCTCCTCCAGGTACTGGAAGGGCTGCAGTGTTGGGAAGGTCCCAGCTCCTGGTGGGTCTGAGAGCCAGGTGCCCAGCATCCAGGACAGCGGCTCTACCACTGGGTTCATCTTGGGGGGCTCTGAGGGCAAACAGAAAGGACAGTCAGTTGCTCTGTGTCCACTGGTCTCCTTCTGACGAAGCCCTGCCGAGCTTCGTGTGGAAACACACACCATCAGCACTTGCCCATCATTTATAGCCAATTCCGCCGACCCTGAACATGCCACCGCCCACCTGTCAAGAGGGGAACAAAAAGGCCAACAATGAGTAAACGTCTTGCAGATCAGCTGCTACACAGAAAGGAGAGCATGAGGAACACTGAAGGGACAGGCGTTCCGGAAGCACCTCGGCCTCTGGAATGATACAGCCTTTGACTGTCGACTGGAAGCAGTCTGGGGACTATCTGGGAGGAAGGAAGTCAAAGGGCTCTGGAGGTAGAGAAGTGTCCGACCACGGCTGAGACACTAGGAACTGAGGAGCAGGCCGTGTGGCCAGGTGAGCAGCAGCCCCAGGCCTAGGGCGAGAACACAGTGGGCAGAACAGGGACTGCGCAGACTTCTGGGCTGACACAGGGCAGAGGGCAGCGTGTGATGCGGAGGGGTCCTGAATCCGACCTGCTGCTCCACCTGGAGCTGTGAACTGAAACCCCCTTGAACCACAACACACACATCTGAGCCCTTCAGTGCACACATTAAAGGTGCCTCCCTCTGAAGGAGAAGTTAGGAAGAACGTCCAGGGGCCCCCTCCCCAGGTACCAGTGTAAAGAGGGGAGGGGTGGTAGTAACAGGGGAATGACAGTGATTTCCAGTCTCTGGACCTCAGGGTCAGGGGACAGTCACTCTGCCTGCAGGGTCTGTGTGGCTGCTCATATGAAATTCATCCTGTCAATGGGTTGCATGTCAAACCGGCATTCCTCCCTCTCTCGTGTGAGTGTGTTGGTCCCTCCATCTGGGCAAGGCGTCAAGACAGAGGGATACGCTGGGCCACCCCCTAGCGGGAACCACGCAGCTGCACTGGCAGACCAGACAGGAGCATGGAAAGTGGGAGGAGCTGAAGAATCCCCGAAGAAGAAAGTGTTTCAGAGCACCGCCAAAAGAAGCCAAAGGGAGAAGGGGCACTGCTGAGAAACAACATGGGACACAGCTGGGACACAGTTCAAAGGGTGAGAAAAGGTAAAGAAGTGAAAACGAAATTACAAGGATTAGAGACCCTCCCCCCCTGCTGGTGGGAAGAGTCTGGCAGTTCCCCAGGCTGAGCCGGAGCCAGGACTCTGCAGCAAGCCCACCTGAGACCTGGAAATACACACTCACACACGATACTGTGCATGAGTGTCCACAGCAGGGTCACAGCTGCCAGAACGTGGCAACAACCAAGGGTTCAATGGATGGATAAACAAAGGGCCATCCAGACAGTGGACTATTTCCCTGCCAGAGACACAGCGGACACTCGCTAAGACACGGACGAACCTCAAAAATGTGTGCTACAGTGAGGGAAAAGGAGAAACATCTGTAACAAAAATAAATAAAAATTACAAAAAAAATGTGTGCTAAGGAGAACAAGCCAGATGACTCCATTCTCACGCTAGTCAGAACAGGTGGGGCTGCGGAGGCAGAAAGCAAGCCAGAGGCTTCTCCATGGTGACTTCGGTGCAGAAGACACGAGTGCCAGGCACACTTACCAGATGCGTGACAGAAAGCGAGCCACGGGTTCTACAGCTGCCACGACGCTAACAGGCAGGCCTCATGTGAGCACCGGAAGCGTGGCTGATCACCGAGGTATGCTTTCAGTGCACAGCATGCTGAGTTTCCAAAATGCAGTCCAAATACCTTAGTAATTTTAAGTATTGGTGGGTTACATGTAGAAATGATATTTTAGATAATATTGGGATAAATAAAATATATTACGGCCCTGGCTTGTGTTGCACAGTGGTTAGAGAACCAGCCCAGAATGGTTTTGGGTTCGATTTCCAGTTAAGGGCATGTACCTGAGTTGCAGGTTCAATCCCCAGCCCTGGTAGAGGCATATGTGGGAGGCAACCAATCGAAGTCTCTCTCTCTCTCTCCCCCCTCCCTCCTTCCCTTCCACTTTCTCTAAAAATCAATGCAAAAAATATCCGTGGGTGAGGATTAACAACAAAAAAATTATGAACATTAATTTCACTTGCTTCTGTCTACCTTTTTAATACAGCTCATAGAAAAAAATTTTTTAAAAGGCCAGCTTTATTAAGGCCAATTTTTAAAATATCCTCACCCAAGGATATTTTTCCTTTCATCTTTAGAGTGGGAGGGAGATGGGGAGGGAGAGAGAGAGAAACATCAATGTGAGAGAGACCCATCAATTGGTTGCTTCCTGCACAACCCTGACCAGGGCTGGGATGTACCACAACTGAGGTACGTGCCCTTGGCCGGAATCGAACCCTTGACTCTCTGGTCCATGGGCTGACACTCTAACCGCTGAGCCAAACTGGCCAGACCTGGCTCATAGAAAATTTTAAGTTACATGTGAGCTCACATATGGACACCTGACACTCAGGGAACACTGTTCCTGTGAACCATCCCTGAGGACGTCACTAAAAGGCACACTTCACCAAGAGACAAGAAACGATGGCAGAAGGAATCATGGTAAGTACTGAACACATTCCACAGAAACACACATGTGGGCCTGGTTCCAGCGGGGGGGGGGGGCACTCAGCAGGGGCAGTGGGGCAGCAGGCTTGTGGCCCATCACAGGGTGGCACAATCTATGGGCTGACAAACCAAGGAACAGAACACAAGGGAGATTTCCCTTTAAAAACAGACAGCCGGCAGGATATAAATGATAAGACAGAACGCAGCACAACCACACTGAACTCACATGATGAAGCTTTTCAGATGGATCACAAAGCAAGACCCTTAAGTCCTTTGGTGTGAACAAGAGGCACTAAATAAAGGACTCAGAGGGCGTTTCAGAACGCAGGGCAGATGCACCTGGAAGAAAGCAGGTGTCAAGCCCCAATGTCAGGTGAAAACAAAGCTAAGCCACATGCACTCGACAGCTGCAGGCGCAGTCACCATGAGGGGCCGCAACAGAGGCAGCAGCAGCATCTGTGGGCCGGCGCTCTAACCGCTGAGCCAAACCAGCCAGGGCGAGCAGCAGCATTTGTAAGGGAAACTACTGAAGACACAGATGTTGACAGAAGCTAAAGAAAATATCAACTCCTGTTTCTTTACGTCCAAGTGAATAAAATACAAAAACGAAGTGCCTTCTGATGGACACACACTGAACTTGGTAGCTGAAAGCTAGAAGATACCCCTTCTTTCCAAGTTCCTCTGGCAGACTCATACACTGACCTTTAAATGGCCAAGGCAGGCCAGGCCGGTTTTGCTCAGTGGTTAGAGCATAGGCCTGCAGACTGAAGGCTCTCAGGTTCGAGTCTGGCCAAGGGTACATACCTGGGCTGCAGGTTTGATCCCTGGCCCCAGTCGGGGTCGTGTGGGAGGCAACCAGTCTAAGTGTCTCTCTCACATCGATGTTCCACTCTCTATCTGAATAAATGGTCAAAGAAAACCTTTAAGTTCTAAAAATCACAGAACCCCACCACACTGCCCGATCACACAGCAACAAGAGTGGAGACCAGAGCACTGTTAGCTGTCCCTCAGCATCGTGCCGGGGAAAAGCCAGACACAGACACGTGCATCTTCTCTGACTGCACTGGGGTGAGATCCTGAATGGTGTTGGGGTGTGCGCCTATGCTGAGGCTATTTCTCTCTCTTTTTAAAATACGTTTTATTGATTTTTTTAGAGAGAGAGAAAGGAAGAGGGAGATAGAAATATCAATGAGAGACACATGGATTGGCTGCCTCCTGCTTTCCCCCTACTGGGGATTAAGCCCACAACCTCACATGTGCCCTGACCGGAATTGAACCAAGACCTCTCAGTCCATGGGATGATGCTCAACCCGAGCCACTGGCCAGGACTTCAGTCCATGGACAACGCTCTAACCCCTGAGCCACCGGCCGTGCTGAAGCTGTTTCTCTTAAGTGAATTCTGCCTCAATAAGAACATGAAGCAGCAAAATTTCCAGAAAACAAACTTAAGAAAACATATCAGAGACCAAACCACCCTTCCTCTGGACCCATTTGCTAGGCTCCAACAGCACGGGTCATGAATGGCCAGGCGACACCAGCCTGAGTTGGGACATCAGGGAGCAGTCCAGCCCCAGGGCCTCCATTCACGCCCACTGACAGTGCCCCACAGGGATGAGGGCCCTCTGCTGCAGGTCTTCTGGTGTTTTATTTGTTTGTTTTTTTTATCCTCACCTGAAGACATTTTTCATTTTTTTTAATCCTCATCTGAGGACATTTTTATATTTTGTTCAGATAGAGTGGGAGGGAGAGAGGTAGAAACATCAACGTGAAAGGGACACACTGAATGGTTGCCACCCACACGACCTAACCAGGGCCGGGGACAAACTGCAACTGAGGTACGTGCCCTTAGCGGGAACTGAACCTGGGTCTCTCTAGACTGCAGGCCAATGTTCTAATCGCTGAGCCAAACCAGCCAGGGCAGTCTTCTGGTGTTTTAAGAAAAAACAGAAATATTGATTTGGAGGTAAACTATTCCAATTTCTAAAGATGTGTTCTAATGAAAACAAGAGTCTGTGGTGACCTGGCTGTCCTGTTAAGGAGCTGGCCACAGCCTTGGTCTCACAGCACAGGGTGTGTGGAGGGCCTGGCAAGGGCTGAGGGCCTCAGCGTGGCCCGATGCCCTCCTGGTCCCTCCCCAGGTCTGTTCTGTACTCTCCTCCCTGCCCCGCCACGTGTCCCTCCTACAGCCCAGAGTGAGAAGGCTGCTGTCAGTCAGTAGTCCCGCGTCCTGAACCACTGGCTCAAAGAACCTCCAGAGGAATCCTGCCTGCAGCTGTGTCCACGTGAGCAGGTGTCTGTTCTGCTTGAGGTGCACAGGGAGCTGCCTCTGGCCACAAGGACCCAGGGAACATCTGGATATCGCATGCAGACAGGACTGGCCCACAGCTGTCACCATGGAATCAGTCGCCCACAGGGAGCAGGTGGACCACAGCCGCAGCACCTGCTGAGAAGGGCG